TCCTTGCCTGACTGTGAGCTCCTTGAGGGCAGGGACTGAATGTGTACTTACACCCCAAATACCCAGCATGGCCTCTGACACATAGTAAGTGGCCTCACGGAGTGTTGCATGACTAAACACACAGGTCTTGGTGTTGGGAAAACGTGGGTGACACCTGCTCTAGGCTGTGGTGGTTTTTTGTGAGGTCCTGCTTCTCAGCACAGATGGGCGGGAGGAGCTGGGCTGATATGGAAGGATTCAGGACAAGGAATCACTGGGATTGAGGCCCTCGGGAATGTGCCATCCTGGGGTTCCCCTCAGCTAATGTTAGCTGGACCCAGGTACTGGAATCTTCTGGGGGGAAATGGAGAAACCCACAAACCCAAGACTGAATGAGGGTCATGAGCAGGCTGAGGCAAGGGAAGGCACCCCAGGGTCATGCATGAGCAGGTGTTTTGAGATAAAAGAGTAACTTCAATACTGTGTGTAGAGGGCAACTGGTAGCTAGGTTCCCACTTGTGTGTCCACGTGACGATGTTGTGGTCCTGAGTTGGCCAGGATTCCGAGGACTCCTCTGGGCTACAATTGCATCTGGGAGGGGACGGGTGGTGCTGATGCATTCGCCATGCCTGTCCTAGGGTTTAGGACATATGGGGTTGGGAGCAAAGCTCCCCATTTGGAGCCAAAGGATCTTCAATGACTTGGCTTTGCAAGTGACTTGTTTGATGACCTTGGGACAATCATGAAACCTCTGGAAGGCTTCTTCCTCAGTAAAACGGTGTTAAATACCAATTCATGGGCATCTACCTCCCAGGGTCATGGTTGAGCTACAGTGAGAGTGGAGGTGGGACTCTGAGGCCCTTCGCACGCAGAAGCCCTCGTTATAGCTGTGTGACCTTACGAGTACCCACCAGACTTGTGAGTGTGTGGGCAGCTCTTGGAGGGAGGACCTGGCTCTTTCCAGAGGGGCATACCTGGAAGAGGATGCCTTTGAACTTAGATCCAGGATTTAGATTTGGATTTGAATTCTGCTCTCTCTCTGAACTGCTTTCCCAGCTGAATAGATCATAGGTCATAGATCATAGGGTTGTTTGGGATGAATTATTTCCTTGAAGACTCCTAGGTTAGATTCTGGCACATACCCAGGTCTCCCAAATTTCATTCTTTCAATCTAATGAAGAGTCATTGAGCCATTACTGTATACCAGACACTTTGTAGCACCGGAGATAAAGTAGAAAACAAAACTGATAAAACAATGCTCAAGGACCTCACATTCTAGTTGGGGAAGAAATACCATAGACAAATCAATGTATAGTATGTCAAGGGGTGCAAGTGATGAGGAGGGGGAGCATGGTAAGGGGGAGAGAATGCTGGGGATAAGGTTGTCCTCTCCATGTGGGGGGGTCAAGCAAATACTCTGAAGAAGCAGACCCTGAAGACGTGAGGCAGCGAGTTATCTGGAGAACATTCTAGAAGAGGGAACAGCATGTGTCAAGATGCTAAGATGGAAGAATGCTCAGCATATCTGAGGAACACCAAAGCGATCAGTTGGGATTAAGCACAGTGAGCATGGCGGGGGATAGCAGGAGGTGGGGTCAGAGGGCAAACAGGGGCCACATCGAGTAGTGGTCATTGTAGGGACTACGGCTTCTCTGAAGCTGAGGCCACGGGAGGGCTTTGAGTAGGGGGGTGACAGGATCTGACATAATGTAGAGGGATGGTTCTGGCCACTGTGGTCCTCACAGATCACAGGGGGTGCAGGGAGCTAGTTGGGGGCTAATCCTGGAGAAAGATGATGGCATGGCTCAGGGTGATGGCAGAAGAGGCGGTGAGGCTGGATGGATCCTGGGTGCACTTGGAAGATAGAGCCAGCCGGGTTTGCTGACGCAATGCTGGTAGGATGGAGGGGAGCAGAGTCATGATGACCGTTAGTCTACAGCCCTGCATGCAGAAGCAGGATTTGCTGTTTACGGAGATGAACTCAGCAGGAGAACATGCTGGTTGGGGCGGGGCACAGGAGAATCAGCAGCCCCTTCTGGATGTTAAGAGCGGGAAGCTATGAGACATCTGAAGGAAGATGGCAAATAGACTGGGGCAAACCAATCTAGAGTCCAAGGGAAAAGCCCAGGCTGCACGTATAAAGCTGGGCTGGAGGGACCCGTCCAGGAGACATCAGCACATAATGGCATCGCAGTTGTGGCTCTGGCTTCCAATTGGACCATCACTACCCCCGCTCCCTCAGTTCCCCAGATGCGTTCTTGGCAGGATGCAGGCTCACAAATCGACGCAGCAGCTGGACTAGCGCACGTTCAGAAGAGAACGAGCGGAGAAGGGAAGCAAGAGAGGAAGGCTCTCACCAGGCGTACATGGGCCCTGGGGGCCTCTGCCCCAGGACTGGGGTTTGGATAACAACCGTGGAACAGGGCTGGCCGCCGCTCCGCCGTGCCCTCCCCGTGCCTTCCCTATGTTGGTGCTGGACTTGAGGGCACACGTTCCCACCCATGCCCCGGTGTGGGCAGTGAGCTCCTTTGGCAGACACCATCTTTCTTCGCAAGTGCACCAAGGCAACATCTCCTTGAAAGTCAATGAGAGGAATGAAAACGCATTGCTGAGGAGGGATCCTAGTCCTCTGGATCCAGACTCCTGGCTGGGGGCTCAGAGATCAGGACAGAGCCAAGAGACTCCCAAACACGCTGCAGGACAGGAAGAGGGAAGACCAAGGCGGCCACATGGCCATACAGCCCTCTTACAATGGGCTGGTAATACAGATGTTACAGACTGGGGCCAGCACAGCCCCAAATCCAATGGTAAGAGCCCCACCCGCCAGACCTGCAGGTGGAGGGGTATGGGAACTAGCTGCCAGGACCTGCACCCTCCCACCTGTCCAGGATGATCCCCAGGCTCCTGGGAGTAGAAAAGTAGTTCTTCCTTTCTCTAAAATCAGAGATGGCTGGGATACATTGTCAACACACGGTCCAAAGAATCAGAGCTGTGAGCATATAGTCTCTTCTGCACAAAGATCCCCACATCCCCGTAGGGCATCATAAGATGAGATGTTGCCTGGGGAAGGGTCCAGGGCGAGTGGCTGTCTCTTTCCACACTGCTCATGCTGCAGATCACCATCTCCGGGGTGGAGTGTGTCAAGAGTGCAGCATAAATCTTAAAACATTCACTTCTTTCTCATGCTTTAAATTTGTTATGTTTTCATGACTCTTTCATAGAAATTCAGTATATTAGTACAGGAGTACACGTGCATATGATTTATGTTTACATTATGAAGGGCTAGATCAAAAGCCATTCGAAGACCCGTTACTTTAGAGAAGAAAGGCCCAGGGCTCGTGGTGGAGAAGGGGCATCTTGGGTCAGTCTGGTTCGATAATTAAGTTACAGCCCCTTGAAGTCAGGGCTGTGTTATATGTGGGTGCTCGGCAGGAAAACACAGTGATGGATCAGATGCAAACGTTCTTTCTCAACTGGACAGGAAATAATAATGACTAAGTTCTACTCTACACCAAGCCCCCCAACATACCTACACAAACCACCCCCAACACACACACACACACATGCACACACACACACAACACTTTCTCTATGTATCTATACACACACACACACACACATGCACTTTATATGTAACATGGGCATGTATGTATAACTTACGCATATAGGTATATTAGTACTATTAGTAATATTAAATTCATAATATCCTTTTTCACGCTGCTACACCTTCTGAGATAGCCAATGTTAATGCCTGCTGTATAATTTCCCACACTATAAGCCTTTCACAAAGAAATATAAAATTATGCACACTTACGTATTTACAGATGGATACAGGCTGGCGGTTTTAAAAAATACAGATGCCCCCTTAATTTCACAATTCCTCTGCATTCTTGTTTTTTGTTTCCATTTAACAACATGTCATAGGCATCCCTCAAGCCAGGAGAGATGAATCTGATTCACCCCTTTCACCATCTGCATAATATTTAATAGTTTGTGTGTAGCCTAACTTCGTCCACCATTGATCTGTTAATGCACATTTGGGTTGCTTCCAACATTTTGCTACAATAATTCATACTATGATAAATACTCCTGTATATATATATATATATATATATATTTCATGTCAAAGTGGTGTTTTTATTGCTGTAAGACAGATTCCCCTAAGTGAGACAGACTACTGGAGGGAACAGGAATCAAATGCAAGGCAATGCAGGATCGCGTGAGGCTGCGTGAATGATTTTTTTTCAATTCCAGCTGTGCTGCCTTATATTCAACAGAGCTGGGCAGAGCCCCATGCTGAGCATGGGTGTCTGCTCCCCGGGTTTCATGCGCCGTGGCCACCATCCCAGGCCTGATGACTTAAAATATCTGTTAAGAGCAGCCTGACAAGGACGGGGGGCAGGCCACAGGAGAGCGTGCTCAGCCTCTTCCAGGGTGAGCCACATCCTAGTGAGGCATGAGGGCATGTGGTCAGAGCAGGAAATGAGTGTTCAAACAGACAGAAGACCTTACAGCTTTCTCCCACTTTGCTGTGTCTCCAAGCAGCCGCATGAAGTCGTCTTTGCCAGCTGCAGGGTACACCCCCTGCCCAGTTCTCCCAGGGAAGAAAACCCGCATGGGGCCAGGACTAGAAGAGGTGCCACCTTGACCACCCCCTCAGTGGGGCAAGTGTCCTTCAGGGGGCAGGGTTATCCATCGCCTGGAACCCCAAAGCTCACAGAGCTCCTTGGTCAGCTTCTGCGCACTGCTTCCCACGGTGATTCACTCGCAGATGGAGCTTGTGGATGTGGGGGTGAAGGTGTCTGTGTTGCTCACAACCCTGCATGTGTCCCATGTCTGAAACAGGTCCCCCCATTACCGTCTCCCAAGCTCCTTATAGGGCCTTTGCACTTAGTAACGCTGTAGAGATTATTTTGTAAATGAGCGAATCAGTCAGTGACTCTGGACCACCGTCAGACTTAGAGGTCCAGAGCCACCGAGGCACAGCCAACAGGGGACCTCTGAGGCTCCTCTCCACCTACCTTCACGGCTTTTGCTCTGTTGATGAGCCCGTCATCTTGAGAACTCCCAATCAGCAGATCGACCTTCGCCCGCGGAGCCCTCTGAAGCGCTCTGGCTGGAGCCTCTCGGAGGTACTGGCCATCAACCACAGGACCCCAGTAGTGGAAAGGACCACTCACAGCCAGGAGCTACATTGGGTACAAAGGGAGGCCATTATGCGTACAGATTTTATCCTTCTTTTTAAATTGTTCTAGAAGAATCAGTTGCATTGCTTCGCTTAATCAGATTTTAACTGTAATGAACGCTGATGCCGGTTATCCATCTGGGGCTGTATTGGACAATGTAGTAAAATGACAAGAACAACAGGCAGGAAGGACACCAGGCCAGGAACTGGAAGGCAAGTCTCGCTCTGAGCAGGTCCCCAGAGCTTCCCCACCAAGGTGACAACAGAGCCCCAGGGAGGCATAGGTAAGCCTGAGACCATAGGTGTGCAAGTGAGCAGGAGTAGACATTGATTTAGGAGTAGGTAGGTGGTCGCCAAAGGCAGGATCTGACAGAGAAATTCATCAGCTCTAGCCACTCTCTCAGGAGCCCACACCCGGGGGAGCTGAGGGTCAGACCTGCTCCAGATCTGTGAGTCCAGGCCCATGGCTGAAGGCATCAAGCCCTTGGCTCAAATGACAAGTTCCTCCTGCTAGTGTCCCCTTCATCAATGTCAGGGACAGCCAGTGACTGTGGGCTGTGAGCAGGATCTTTTCAGGCGGAAAAGGGAGCACATAGCTGTCCTGTGTACGAGGATGGGGTGGCCCAAATCCACTGCAGGTATGACCATCATGCTCCATTTGAGTGGCTGTGACCTGCCAGAGTGCCACCACGGTTCTGGCACAATCAAGACCCTTGACGTGGTTCACTTCATTTTATCCTCCTACTCTATAAGGCCCACGTTATATTTTACATTTATATTTTACAGTTAAAATCCAATGTGCAGAGAGACCTGTCCACCTTGAGTACCCATGCTTGGTCCATTATGTGCCGGGCCCACGCTTGGTGCTAGGGGTCAGGGAATGCACATTCGGGCTCTGGCCGGTCATCCACCTCCTGTGTGGCCTTAGGTGGGTCAGGTCTCCTTTCTAGTCCTGGTTTTCCATTTGGAAAAGATCAGAGAGTGTCCCTCCCCAACTCACACACAAGTGCCCACCTTGGTCTGGGCGTCATTAAGGACACTGGCAGGCTTCTGGCGGAGACAGGACACCATTTCTTGGGTGGACGAGGTGGGGCAGCTGACTTCCTCTGCCAAAGCGGCTGCCTGCTGCTGAGCCCTCTCCTGGCTGATGACAGCAGCTGGGGAGAACGCAGAGCCACCCTGGAAGAGAACGCAGACTCAGGATGAATAGTCTAGATCGTCTCCTCCCCCACCACCCCTGCTCATCAGCCCAGAGACTTCGGGGCCACATCAGGGCTCTGCACCGTTCATCCACACTCAGAAGTTCCAGGACCCTTCCTGAAGATGCCCACAGGCATTCAGGAGGTCAGGACTGATAGATATCATATCAACACCGCATGTGATCTTGAACGAGTGTCTCTCTAGGTCTCCGTTTCCTTACCTGGGAAGTGTGGGCCTTGGACAGAGTGATCATTGACTAAAGTTGTATATTGGGGCCAGGGGCTGATGGTGGTTGAAGAGGGATAAGGACCAGAATTATCCTTGTCCACATCCCCCACCCCCACCTCCCCGGTCTCCTTAAATAGCAAGTTTCCTGGCTCAGTTAAGACAGAGTTGGACTTGCAAATAGATGCCCACCTAGAAGGTGATTGAAACACAGTCATTGTGCACGTAAATTTTTCCAGCAGAGTCAATGCAAGTCTCTGTCAAATGCTGGCTGGCTGGGAGCCTTTCCCCTCTAGAAATGCAGGTGGCGGGAATGCCAGGAGGTTCATCCCCAGGCCTAGACTGTTGGTGGGATTGGTCTTCTGCCCAGGTGGAAGAGGTGGGCTCAGCGCCTTAGCTAGGGTGCAATCCCAGGGCCTTCCGTCTACAGACCACCCCCAGTTCAGACGATGCTGCATACTACAGCATCAGGGACAATGGTTGGGGGAGCGTGCAGTGGGCCTACCTGCACCAGAACTCTTACCAGTACCACTGAAACTGGTAATACACAGCAAGGGCCATTGATCGATGACTTTGTCTTTTTTTTTTTAAAGATTTGTTTATTTATTTCAGAGAGAGAGAGAATGAGCGCTAGGGAGGGGCAGAGGGAGAGAGAGAGAAAGAGAAGCAGAATCCCTGCTGAGCAGGAAGTTCGATGCCGGGCTCAATCCCAGGACCCCGACATCATGACCTGAGCCAAAGCCAGATGCTTAATGGACTGAGCCACCCAAGCTCCCGGAGGACTTCGATTGTTAACTCAAGAGCTTCCCCCACTTTATCTCATTCATCCTCACCAAGGCTGTGTAAGTTAGCTGTTGTCATTGTCCCCATTTTCACTAATATGAAAATAAAGAAATAGAGAAATTCAGTAACCTGACCAAAGCCACAAATGCTGCCAGAGTCTGAGCCCGCCTATGGATGCAGGCAGCTGGGCTCCAGAACTTTTGTGTTCCAGGCCCCTGGGCGGAGCAGTGGGTGAGCTCTCTGAGCAAGCTCTTTACTAAGGGGCCTGCCTGCCTCCAACCACCTGCCAAGTACTCACCCTCGAAGGAACTTTGTGTCTCCTGCAATCTCTGCAACAGTAATAGGAGGCAGGTATAACCACCATCCTTATTTTGCAGACAAGCAAACTGAGGCTCCAAGAGGAAAGGAAAATTCTCATTTATCGAGTATCTAATAGGTACCAGGACCTGGGAGCTTGGCAACAACAAAAACTAATAATGATGGTTAATATTTACTGAGTAATTTCTAAGTTTTGGGTATAGCTGTAAGCACTTCGTACATATTAACTCATTAAACCCTCTCCACAATTCTCAGAGGTAAATGTTATTTACCCCTTTCTCTTAGATAAGGGGAAATTAAGGCACAGAAAGGTCTAGAACCTTGGCCAACATCACACAGCGGTGACTGGCAGAACCAGGACCCTAGTCCAAACAGCCCACCTTGGCCATGCTCTCAACCCCACATTATGCCACATGTGTTTTTATATCCTGAACAAGATGCTGTGTTCTTGAGCTGAACTGTACCCTCTTACTCCAATGTAAAGGGAGCACTGATCTGTCTGACTCTAGAGAATATGTTTCCTTCTAGACCCTACCCTGAGCTAAAACACCGGAAACTGGTCACAATACCAGAAATGCAGCAATGGGTGTATCAGAGGGTGCTGCTCTCACTGGGTCTTTGAGACGATCGTTGAAGAATAGCAGAGGAAAGCATTCTGGAAACTGTAAAGGGAGGTGCCCATGTCCACCTGTTACCTGAGTCATTAGTGCTATTACCCACTGTATAAAACAGACAATAGACAGATGCCCAGAGGGGAGGACACCCATCCTCTTGAGATTCCAGCTGAACAGATTTCCTGAAGTCAGGGAGCACATTTCAGCATAGCTTCCAGAAAGTTCCAGTGGTCGTTATGCCTCACAGTCAGGACTGAGGGCCATGGGCAAAGCACGGGCATTGCAATGAGGATAGGCCGTCCTGCAGGTAGGGCTGAGAGCTGAGGGTAGCCCTGGGTGGGGTGGGGAGAGGGCAGGGTCTGGGGCTGGTTCTGGCCATAAGTAGGGCTGAGAGTCCTAATCTCAGCAGCTAAATGCAGTCCGGTGCCCTGAACACAGCCTCTGATCTGGCTTCCTACTCCACTTGGTGACTTCACAAATTACCCAGCTCCTTTCCCTCCTGAGTCACATGGACACAGTGATACCACTCCCCACACTTCCCCTGAGGGTGAGATGCCTAAGAATCAAAAGAGAGAACCTCGGTGGAGTGTTCCTCATGTGTCCTCAGCATTTTATAGATATTGCTTTATGCCTCACAACCATCACATGAGGCAGATGATATTGTCATCCCATTTTATAGATAAGGGGCTCATGGCACAGAGACGCAAATGACTTGCTCGGGATGACAGGATTGGGTGGAGGCCAAACCGCAGTCTGAACATGGGCAGCCAGGCTCGAAGGCCAAGCCCTTAGCCACCCGGTCAGCCTTCCGTATGCACTGGGCAGGATCTCGATGAAAGGTGGTGGCACTGTTAACCATCTTATCTCGACTTAGTCGTCAGGACCAAGGAGGAAACTTATGGCCAGAGTCAGAGGTCAGGCCAGTTGCAACCTAAACCCAGAGAGAGCAGAGCACGTAGGGTGTGGATCATGACAACAGCAGTGTTATCCTGGGGCCTGGGAGCCCTTTCTGACAGCTCTGAGCCACTCAGAATGGGGCTGGCTGCTGGGTCCCCAGACCCAACACAGGGAGCGGTCATCTACATTGTCTTTCTGTCCTCAACTCATTTAGGTAAGCTCAGAGTCTCCTGTTGTCAGCAGGATTGGCTACAAAATGCACAAGGCAAGGTTCCTGCACCCTTGAACCCCAGCCAGTGGCGCGCTCTGAGCTTCAGCATCTGTAAAACACAGAGTCCTAACGCCTGAGCACATGGTGAGAATGAGCAGCCGAGAAAGTAAAATACCCAGCCAGCCCAGAGCCAGGAATTCAACCACAGCGACAATACGCAGGGGCAAGGTGATTCTGCCTGCAGGTTTCTTTCCAACGATGAGGGGTCCGGCTTTCCTAAGAACCACTGGATCTGCTTTGTCTTAAGAGAACACATGCCGTGCACACGCACACACACACACACATGTGCTCAAATTAGTCAAGGTCAACGCCCCATGTTCTGGATTGCAAATTGAGCTGGCAAGCTGAGGTGGGGCTGCTGAGCCTCCCTTGGCCGCAGGTAGGCCATGGGGGACGCTGACGTTGGGAAGGGGCCCTCTAATGTTTTCAGCACTGTGTGCGGCTATAAAAAGCCAGAACTCCTGATACCGTGAGGAAGTGGTTAAAGGCGTGGGTTACAGCGATACTGCACGATGGCTTAGAGAACTTTCCTCTCCCTCAAGTATATTGTTTTAATCGATCTTGCTGAAGGAAACGTCTTTCTTCATGGAAAATCGGTGGTTAAAGAGTCAACGGCCGGCTCAGCCCTGACTTTAAAGCACTTGGATGGAGAGCAAAGGACGGGGCTGGAGTAGGGTGTGCTATGCAGAGCTGCACAGAGTGCAGGGGCTCTGGGGACAGAATGAGGTCCGAGGCCGGGGCCTGTCTCGAGTCCATAGACCAGGCTGTCAGCCCTGTCTGAAGCCGGCAGAAGGACCAGCTTCATACTCCAGCCCTGTTCCTCGCTGACGAAGGGACTCAGGGCGAGTGACTAACATCTGGGGGCTTTGGCTACTCCTCTGTGAATAGGAATGACACACTGTACTTTAAGGGTCATCATAAGGACATGCGCAAGATGGTGGGGGTCCTGTGCACAGGGGATGTTGTATTCCTATTGCAGTTAGCACCATGGGGACTAACGGGACCCTGCAGTGGGTGGGGGCAGCGGGGTCTTCAGCCTGCCTGGTCACACAGCAGTCTCACGGCTGGCCCTGGGCTTGCACTTATCTAAATCCGACTTAGCTATTAAAGGGCAAAGAGTTTCCTCTTGTTGTGTGTGTTTTTCTAACTTCAGAAATAATGCAAGGCAAAACTCCAATTGCTGACCACTCTTTTTTCTCCCTGGAGCCTCTGAACATTGTCAGGGGTCTTGACCTCTGTCAGTCACTACAGTCACCTCAGAACCAGACCCTGCCCCCGTCTAAGCACGCATATAAACACAAACAGTCACAGACAAGAAAGATACACTCACAATATAGTCGCACACAGAGACACACACATTCAGACACACACAGTTGCAGGCAGAAACACACATGGGCACACTTAGATACACACAGACATACGATAGCACACACATAAACACCAGAAGTTCTTGAAATGGACAGCCACTCCTAGAGACTGGGGGAAGCATGGCAGATGGGTTCAGGGGACTTATTACCCACATGAGCTAGAAAGGAAAGGAACTGGGTCCCAAGTATCCCAGCATCCCCAGAACAGGGCCTGGGACTCAGAAAATTAGGTGAATGAGCCTGTGAGTGAGTGAGCCAGTGACTGTGTGAATAAGGGCAAGGATGGATGGATGGATGGATGGACACATGGACAAATTGGATGGATGGATGGGTGGATGGATGGATGGATGGGTGGATGGATGGATGGATGGATGGTTGGATGGACAAATGGATGGATGGATGGATGGATGGTTAGATGGATGGACAAATTGGATGGATGGATGGATGGATGGATGGATGGATGGATGGATGGATGGCTGGCTGGCTGGCTGGCTGGCTGGCTGG